TCAAGCTCTTCGTAGTCACGCATTTTGGCCTCTTTCTTTTTGTGTATGCAAACGCGTCTCGCTTCCCTCTTCAACTCTCGGTATCTATCCCATCCCGCACAAGTTGTGGTCGAATGTTACGTAAGGTGTTTAAAATGCATTCACACAGTTCAGTTACACTGAGTTGATGACGAGTGCTCTCAGAGACTAGGATTTCAAGTCGAGTAGAAAACCGTTCGGCTGTCTGTAGCGATTGTAGTTTCTCGACGTCGAACCTTCCTTGGGTTTGTTGGCGTGAGTTTTTTCCGAGCCGATGTTAGGACCTTGGAGCGGACGCACATCTAAAACCCTGGAGACGTGTCTCCCGTCTATCATAATATGATTGATCTGGTCGATGGTTTTTTGATCCCGAGACAGCCAGGTAGCTTGATGAATCTTCTTATGCTGGAATCTAGTACTACAGATAACCATATTCCGGGCCCCGGCGAAGTCGATCAGCCTCAACCCATTTGGGGATGTTTCTTCGTGAAGGCTGAAGTTACCGACTGTTCACCTAAGATTCCATCCTTGCCCACCCTGGCGATGACATCGTGGGAGCAGCTCTCGTAGGTGCGCTTTAGGGACTCATAGCAGACATCTTTGGTCACATCGTCCTTCTCTTCCGTCGGGGAGTGGGCGCAAATCAGCGATACGTTGTAGAACCTCGCTGTGATGGGGATTGTGGCTAGATGTTCATCCACCGGAATGAATGATAGCACTCGGCGACGGAATCTCTCTCTTCCACCACGAATCCCACACCAAATTTGCGCTCCTTTATATTCCACTATAGTAAATGTACAAGGACCTACTCGCCTCAGTCCTAGTCCCTTCTATCGAGTTTCTTCGGTGGCGGTGATATCAGCCTTTATTTTCACGTCAGTGATTTTGTCCATTGCATTTCTTATTTCTTGGACGCTGGTGATGTCTGGCTTCACTCTAACGAAGACACCTTCCCAATTAAGAGACGGTTCATTCCAAGTGCACACACTTAAATTATAATTTCTGATAAAACCTACCTATACACATTGGAAACATTTTATCACGTTCACGTGTGACAAGACAGAATACGTGGTATAGGAAAACTCTACTGATATGGAATAACAAAACGCAATCGAAAGTAGTTTATGTGTAAAAAAAAGTTTATGAGTAGAAAAAACTAGAATTTAATTGTGAAAGAGAATTTCATAACGAGGGATTATGTTTATGATACATTGATGACGGTTACTTATGGTGCAAATGAGGATTTATATTTTCTTTATGCCCTTGGTGGTAATGGTAGGTAATTTCTCGTGTCAATAGTTTTAGCCACTGTTCGTGTGAGATCCAACATTGCGTTGGCAGCTGCTAGTTCTGGAATAGCAACCGTTAATCCTTCACACTTTTGGAGAACGAGAATGAAATATTGCAAAACACTGCGCAATGGTCATCGAAAATCATCATATAAAACGAATGCACAATGGCACATAAGCGAGCATTGAAGGCATTAAACCTAAACCAGAGATTGAAAAATTTACACAACGACTCAAGATGCTTTCAAAGAGCAATGATTTTACTGTTTGGAGATTTCCGCCAAATTAGGTGATGATAATTTCTTTGTTTTTTAACAAATCGTAAAATATTTGTTACTATCCTTTGTAGCTTCAACCAAATATAGTATCTCCTCATTAAATACTTTATAATTTCTGTTTGGTTCCTTGAAGTTGACAATAATTTTGTTGAGTGGTTTGGTTCGAATTTTGGCCATTAATTTTCAGATAATTGAAGCCATTTTGGACCACACCACCAGATGTCTGCACTCAATATTTTGTCAACTGGAATAATCAAAAAGTTATAATTAAAACATAAAAATAAAAAGTTTTATATAAGCATTTAATATTTAGAAAATAATTCAGAATCAATTTTAAAAGAACATACTTGTATAACAAAAGGAAAAATTGGAATACATACAGATTTAGATGACAATCAATATAATATTTTACAAAATAAATTAATAATAATAATTTATATTCCTAATTGGAAATTTTTAAAATAAAATCTAAATTTGATAGAAGTCCAATTAAAGCCAAATTCCATTTTACTGAAACTCCAACAGACTTAAAACAACGGACACAATACGCAAATAAAAAATCAAATTTATTGATAGTTGTTCAAAAAGTTATGTTGCTTATTATCTTCAAACCAGAACCCATTAAACTATAATTGAAAAACTTAGACCCTGGTCGGGCCAATACCCGGGGTAACCTAAGTATTTTCTTTTTTTTCTTAATTGGCGAAGACACCGCTTACGTGGTTATAGCCGAGTGAACAGCAGCGCGCCAGTCGTTTCTTCTTTTCGCTACGTGGCGCCAATTGGATATTCCAAGCGTAGCCAGGTCCTTTTCCACCTGGTCCTTCCAACGGAGTGGAGGTCTTCCTCTGCTTCYSYYGGCGGGTACAGCGTCGAATACTTTCAGAGCTGGCGTGTTTTCGTCCATTTCGACAACATGACCAAGCCAGCGTAGCCGCTACCTTTTAATTCGCTGAACTATGTCAATGTCGTCATATAAGAACTTTTCTCTCGAAAACTCGCAACGTCGACTCATCAGTTGTTGACATCGTCCAAACCTCTGCACCATATAGCAGGACCGGGTGACTCATAGAGTTTGGTTTTTGTTTGTCGAAAGAGGACTTTGCTTCTCAATTGCCTCAGTCCGAAGTAGCACCTGTTGGCAAAAGTTATCCTGCGTTGGATTTCCAGGCTGACATTGTTGGTGGTGTTTACGCTGGTTCCAACATAGGCGAAATTACCTACGACTTCAAAGTTATGACTGTCAACAGTGACGTGAGAGCCAAGTCGCGAGTGCGACGACTGTTTGTTTGATGACAGGAGATATTTCGTTTTGCCCTCGTTCACTGCCAGACCCATTTGTTTTGCGTCTTTGTCCAGTGTGGAGAAAGCAGAACTAACGGCGCGGGTGTCAATATCATCGGCATACGCCAGCACTTGTACACTTTTATAGAAGATGGTATCTTCTCTGTTTAGTTCTGCAGCTCGAACTATTTTCTCCAGGAGCAGGTTGAAGAAGTCGCATGATAGGGAATCGCCTTGTCTGAAACCTCATTTGGTATCGAACGGATCGGAGAGATCCTTCCTGATTCTCACGGAGCTTTTAGTGTTTCTCAACTTCAGCTTACACAGCCGTATTAGTTTTGCGGGGATACCAAATTCAGACATCGAGGCATAAAGGCGGCTCCTTTTCGTGCTGTCGAAAGTAGCTTTGAAATCGACGAAGAGGTATTGTGTGTCGATTTTCCTTTCACGGGTCTTTTCCAAGATTTGGCACATGGTGAATATCTGGTCGGTTGTTGATTTGACAGGTCTAAAGCCACAMTGATAAGGTTCAATCAGTTTGTTGATGGTGGGCTTTAATCTCTCACAGAATACGCACGATAGAACCTTATATGCGATGTTGAGGAGGCTGGTATAGCGGTAGTTTACGCAGATTGTTGGGTCTCCTTTTTATGGACTGGGTATAGCACACTTAAATTCCAATCGTTGGGCATGCTTCCGTCCGACCATATTTTACAAAGAAGCTGATGTATGCTCCTTATCAGTTCTTCGCTGCCGTGTTTGAATAGCTCAGCCGGCAATCCATCGGCCTCAGCCGCTTTGTTGTTCTTCAGGCGGGTAATTCCTATTCGAGCTTCTTCATGGTCGGGCAATGGAACGTCTGCTCCATCGTCATCGATTGGGGAATCGGGTTCGCCTTCTCCTGGCGTTGTGCGTTCACTGCCATTCAGCAGGCTGGAGAAGTGTTCCCTCCATAATCTAAGTATGCTCTGGGCATCGGTGACTAGATCACCTTTGGGGGTTCACAAAGAATATGCTTCGGTTTTGAAACTTGAAATTCTTGAAAAACTCTTGAATTTTCAAGCATTACTCCTCGACACTCCTCGTTGTACCAGCTCTAATTATGCACTTTAGAAAAGCAATGGTTTCGGTTGCAGCTGTACGTTAGGTGTTTGAAATGCCGTCTCACTGTTCCCTTAAACCGAGTCGTTGATGAGTGCGCTCAGAGAGCAGGAATGCAAGCCGAGTAGAAAATGGTTCGGCTGTCTGTTGTGATTCTCGACGTCGAACCTCCCTTGTGTTCGTTGGCGTGCGTTTTTTGCTCAACAGAGGCGGGTGCGAATCTTGGCTGCAACAAGATAGTAGTCTGAGTCTAAAACACTGGAGACGTGTCTTCCGTCTATCAAAACATGATCGATCTGGTTGATGTTTTTTCGATCCGGAGACAGCCAGGTAGCGTGATGAATCTTTTTATACTGGAAACTCCTACTACAGATAACCATTTTTCGTGCCCCGGCGAAGTCGTGTCGGGGCAGCTCTCATAAGTTCGCTCCAAGCACTAATAAAAGGTATCTTTGATCACATCGTCCTTCTCATCCGTCGGGGCTTGGGCGATTTGTTGAAGAACATCGCTTTGATGCGGATTGTGGCTAGACGTCCATTCACCGGAGTAAATGATAGTAATCGGCGACGGAGTCTCTCTCCCACTACCCCAAACTTGAGCTTCTTTATATGGCCACTATAGTAAATGACACAAGGACCTACTCGTCTCTGTCCTTGTCCTATCCATCGCATTTCTTTGACTGCGGTGACGTCAGCCTTTATTTTCACGAGGACATCAACCAGCTGGGCAGCGGCACCTTCCCAAATAAGGGACTGGACATTCCAGGTGCATGCCCTCAAATCACAGTCCTTAATTCGTTTGCCATGGTCGTCTTCAAAAGGGGAGTCACTCATTCGAAGCTTGTTTTTTCTTTTCTTTGGGGGTGTTTTTTATGTGACGGGTCGCAAACCTAGCGCACAACCCTATGTAATGATGTTTCGCCTTCTCAGTTCACCCAGAGTATACTGGTCATAAACCGGAAGTCGTAAGCTGCTTGGGCCATATGTAAAAGAATCGTTTCTGGCCACTCCCAAGTCAATGGCGATCAGAGAACTTTCCTCACTTGCGTCAACTTTTACACATGACTCCATCCTCTTACCTAAGCATTTTATTATATAATATTACAGGGTTTGTTCAGAAAGTAATAGGGCTGAGTCGATTAAAAACAATTTATTGAACCAATCGTTACAATTCTTTAAAAACTTTCAAAATATGCTCCTTCTGAGTCGGTGCAGCGTTGCCAGTGCATTTCCAAACATTGAAGGCGTCACAGAAGGCATTCTCCGGAATAGACTTGAGAGCCGAGGTGCATGCTGCTTGGATCCCCTCTATGGCGTGTGTCATTCGGAAGATTGAATCTTTGTCCGGGTATCATACTTAAAGGTCCGGTCCATGACTCGGGATCTGTGCTTACGTTATTCAAAAATTGAGGGTGACACATGTTAAAATTTTCTTAGCACACTTCCTCCCACATCAATTTCTGGTCGTCAATAAGTACTTCTGGGACCACTTTCCCGCACACCTTGCTTACGTTCAAGTGATCCATCACAATGTTATGAACCACACATTTTGATAAATTTAACATCTAGGYAATTAAACGAATACTTAGTCAACGGTCTGAGTTCAAAACTTTGCGAAAACGAGTCACATTGTCCGTGTTTGTCTAAGTCGCAGGCTGTCATTAGCGTCCACTTCTCGCCCTTACAAATAGGCCTAGTGCTACCGAATGACACCACTTCTTGCTAAGGCAACATTTSGGTAAACCTGCTTGATCATATCAAACGTATGCGTCGCAGATTTACCGAGATTTTACACAGAATTTAATCGCGCTAACGAACGCTGTATTTTCGGGTTCCAAAACTCACGGAAAGACGTCGTGAAAATGTTTGTTCTGATTCTCCAGATGCTCGGAGTCAACTGACCAGCCGCTCGTTCGTTAGCTAGGAATGCCCTTTACGGAATCCAGTAGGTACGCGCACGCTCCGAAGTACAGACGCGGCGGAAGAAAATCAACCCTATTACTTTCCAGAGAAACCCTGTACTTCCTTGTTTGTTAAATTTATGTGAGACATCCGTAGGCATGGCAAGAGTGTTTATACTCGTACTCATTTTAATTTATTAGAACTAAGATTGCTAAATAAAAAAGAGGAATTATGGCAGTGCTCCAATTTCTCACAATCGTTAGCACAGAAATGATGTCCACTACGATTGTAAGAAGAAAGTTTTTAAAAAATAGATTTCTAATTTAGTATAAAGTGTGAATTCTTTTAAACGTTAACAGTTTAATTTAGTAAATTTTAAGTGAAAAATGTGTGTAAAGTGTGTTAAATGTAGTGAAATAGCTTGTTGAAATGTTGGATTTTATGTAATTTATGAACTTCAAAGTCGAATATTTCGTAAACTGAGCGTTTGCGGTATCTATACCTCTGTATAGTCTTTAATAAAATTAATTAAGAGTTCCTCTTTTCAACGATACCTTAAAATCGCGGCACCAAAGAAATCGGGATTTTCACAAAGTTCATTCATTATTGTTTTTTTGTTTTATTTATTTATGAGCTGTAAGACATTATGTGAATTTAATATTATAACAGAACAGATTAACAGAAATAGTTGAACTCCAGTGAGAACTGCTATTATATTCTATATTTTAAATTGTTTCTATAATTAAGATTTTATTTGCAATAAACACAAGCCGTAATCTCTAAAAGATAAATTCAGCATATGCTTTTTTATTGGCATCGCTTTTAATAGCCCTAGCCAAAATATTTGTAAGTATCAGGCATTYTTTCAACATAAATTGTGGATTGTTATCGAATTTYATTATTAAGGTATAGTTTAAATATTTATTTCTTTATGATTTGGTCACTAGCCACAGACGTAGACGTGGAGATATGGAACTGGAAACTACAAATCCTAATTTTTAAAAATGTGGCATACGGTTTGTGAAATTAATCTGTCAAACCTGAAGTAGTGTTATAATTTCTAAAGCAAAAGAAAAATGTTACATTGTTTGGTTTATTTCTATTTTTACACTTTGTGAAAGTTTTTTCAATCTTAATAATTTACTTTTAACTTAATAATAATTAAAAACTGATTGAATATTATCAATCAGTTTCGTATGACTTCGATACCGCAACTCTTAAAAGTGAACACTCACCTGCATTGGCTAACGCTGAAATCGAACATTATAAGTACGCTATTCGAATTTCAAAAAACAACCACAAATGCAGAGCAATATATCCAGCTGTTCAATGACGCAGTAGTAAAGTACAAACCGGAGTGGAAATTATTATATACCGACGGATCCAAATCAGACACCCACACTTCATTTGCGGTAACAAACGACCAAGGTGTCACCTGTTCGAGCTGAAGCGGCTGCGATATATGAAGCGGTTCTATTTGTCGCACAAACAGGAAAAAAATATACAATAAGTACGGATAGCAAATCGACAATTAACGCTATTTTGAATGAGACAAACTCAGTGCTGATCAACAATATAAAAGAAATTTTGTATCAACCCAAAATAGAATTAAGATCATGTGGATCCTTGGGCATACTGGTATTAGAGGAAACCAACTTGTAGATGACCTTGCAAAAAAAGCTGGAAAAGAACCACTACTTTCATTCGATCACTGTATGCTGAAAGCCATTCGCAACATGGTAAAAAAAAGTTGTCCACGAGTCAGCATCGAGAGATTGGTCAAATTTTCAGCAACATTACAAGGAACATAATCTCTCTGGTAACAAGCCAAACTACCCAACTGATTGCTCTTGCGAAGATATAAAAACGTTTGTTCGCCTGAGAATAGGGCACACTTTCAAAACTCACAGTCATCTTTTAAACAAAACGGCTAAACCAAGCTGTTCATATTGTAACACAGTACAACAGCTAATCTGGGGGGTGAGAAATTCYAAGTMARGGWGATGGTACTARGTCAGYATAGTAAAACCCTCAAAGGGTTTGGCGTTTGTATGTGTCAGTTTTTTTTATGACCTTTTAAATTTTTTCCTTATTTCCCATGGTTTTCCATCTTAACAAATTAATTTTTTCCAAGCAGGCGTACTAAATAGTCCAGATATACGAAAGCTGATTAAAAGTGACGCATTCAACAATATTTTGATTGATATATATTGTTTTTTTTTTTTTTGTTCCAAATTGTTGCAACTAAGCGAAAAAACATGAAGATAAGGAAAAAAGGGGTTATAAGGTCATGTACGAACGCCAAACTCTTTGTGGGTTTCACTATACTGACCTAGTACCATCACCCTGGCTTGGAATTTCTCACCCCCCAGACAATAATCCCAAAAATGTTCCACAGTGTAATCAGCCAAATATATCAGTAAATCACATCCTAAATGAATGCACCGCTTTAAATACATCCAGGACAACTACCTTTGGTAAAAGGAAACCATTAAATCGAAAGCACCAAATACTGACAACAACAGGGCAATCAACAATTTCCTAAAAATATGTAAGATATCAAACTTAATTTAGTTGTAATTAAACCAATGTTAGATACTTATAGACACTTATAATAGTGTAATATAAGAGCCGAAGGCCTCAGTACCCAGCGCTTTAACTTAGTGAATTAATTATTTATAATTAACTCCCTTGTAAATAAATAAATAAAAAACACACTAAATATATTATATTTTTAAGAAATTTGTACATGAAGTTTATTAATTCAGCTATTATGTTTATTTGCAGCCACAAACCGTAAGCCGACGAACACTATACCAAATAAGTATATGAATACCATTTCATAGGAAACAGCACAGTGATGCCGCTCAAAATTATAATATGAAGTATTCGCGAGAATTCGTACACTGGAGGACGAATCAACAAAATTTAAATGTATAAGAGAAAATGTGTTGAAATTAAAGTTGTATCATAAGTAAGAAAATATAATATCCATTATTACCCATTATACATTGAAAATTCAAAACTAATATGTGACGAATCATATACATACACATCTAATAAAATAAATTAACAAAACGGAAGTTAAATAAATTATTAATCATTTTATATTATAATGATGGCCGAAATAGCTAATAGACCCTGAAATAACTTCAATTTATAAAATGAATTATAAATTAAGTTATAATCGGAACTAAAAGTAAGTGGAATTCAGACAACTGCCTAAGACTATTCAGCTACCCCCCTCATTTGAAAGGTAATGAATGGAGCTTTTGAATAATAGCACCCTTTCCCACCTAGGACCACGGGGGGCTCTAGGGCAGCCTCCTGAAAATGGTGTAAAATCGTAGTTTTTCCATACAATTTTCAGTAATTATTATAAAATTTATGTATTTTTACGCATAGAGTGACTATGTGTATTATTTTTATTACTTCAATGAATTAAAGTGGAAATCCACTTTATTTAAATAATAAAACACTGGAAATTAAAAATTTCATATGTGTCGGTAATAAAGCATACAAGTAGTTGAAGTACCAAGATAATCCAACCAACCATTTATATAATACCCCTAAATAAAAAAAAATTGGGAATATCATTCTCTTTGAAAAAAATTAGATATTATTTTATATAATACTGTTTTCAAAGAAAATTTCAAAGCTCCCTGAAAAGCGTCGCAGCATAATATACTACATTGAAATATTTTTATTCCAAATTTTCGTTATATGGACGTAATATATTGCCCACTTTTCAGAAGTATTCGCTTTTTTGATTGGTTATTTGACATCATTATAAAACACACCGGTTTTAATTAAGGCACGCGAATATAGTATAATAAAAATTTGAATTCCATTGAAATCAATATACCGTTAACACAGAAGTAACCAAACCAACATTTTTTCTATAATACTAACGTATTACTTCATTATTAAAATATATAGTATAACCTTAATTGAGCGTGGCCCTAAGGACCCACCCCACCACAGCACCCCACCGCTTTTCGCATTTGTTAATACTTTCAACCATCGATCCGAAACGAGTCCTATATAAAGTAACCCAAATGTATATAAGACCTACCATTTTGATTCGTTGGGTTATTACTGTCTTCCTTTTGTGCTTATTTTCTTCGTCGTTTGACAGTTCATATTCAGTAATTTTGCTTACATTTAATTTAAGGGAATAAGCAGTGAAAAGGAGATACTAAAACGAACCCAACCCATTTGATTTGAATACTATAAACCTGGGCATGCATCAGATGGTGGGCCTTGCTTGTGGGGGACTCATTTTGTTGGATGAGTCCATATAAAATAGCGTGGTACTTCTAAGTAGAGGAGTGCTTGTGCAAATACACCAAAAGTATCCGCACGACTTTTTGGTAAATTCCCATATTTCGGAACCCGACCAACCGATTTTGGCAAAATGTAGTACGTTGCATTTTTTTTATATTCTAATGACACATTGTGTAAATGACATTTCTTTTTACATTCGTATGACACATTGTAGAAATGAATGAAATCGGATAACAACACGCCTACTTCGCATAAAGCGCATTTTAAATTCCACTTAACTTGTTCAGTTTCCTATACACAAATCAAGACGAAATTAATATAACTGGATAAAACTTTGCACGAATAATGTGTTTAGTGTGCGCCACATTAAGTCCAATTTTGTTTAAATCCAATACAAACTGTTCAACCCCTAGGAACCAATATTTAGAACAGGAACCTTTTGATCGAAAATGCCGATCAGTGCATGATATACTATACTATAATTGAAAAAAGAGAAAAACTTCTCTTATAATGGCATGTATGTATGTCAAAAATGTATTGAATCAGACAAATACTTCTCTTATTACCGCGTATGTCGAGCGTGTTTTACTCATAACTTTGCGATTAAAATAGATAAATTTGAGCGAAAACTTGGCCTATCCTAACTACTATCAGGATTTTCGAACATCCGGTTAACTTTACTTTATATGATTGGTTTTACATCTAAAAGTATTTCCCTGGCTTTGATTATTGCAAGTTGCAAGAGTATATAATGAATCCGAACTTATCTCTCTTTACTTGCTAAAACTATTATTGAGTTATTCACAACTTTTTCCATATACTATATATGAATAATATCTGATTTATATTTAATAAACACAGATAAGTAAAACTACATAATTTTTTTATTAAATTTATATCAATGTAATATAACATTTTGATATACTGCAATTTTGTATTATAATAAATCATATCGCTCGAAAAAATAACTCTGATCGAGTCAATACCTGAAATGACTGAAGTACTTTCACGTAATACTTCTCCTTGCCTTTGGCGGCCTTTTGCCACGCGGATTGACTGAAGAACTTTCTCATAGTACTCCTTTCTGCGTTGGTGGCTTTCGGACGCGCCCTAAAAAAATAACCCTGTTCGATCCGGTATCCTGTGTGACTGAAGTAGTTTCGTGCAGTACTCCGTTCTGCCTTGGCGGCCTTCGGCCACGATCTTAAAAAAACCCTGGTCGCGCCAATACCCGAGATAACCTAAGTATTTTATTATATAATATAATATTACAGGATTTGTTCGGAAAGTAATAGGACTGAGTAGATTAAAAACAATTTATTGAACCAATCGTTAACAATTCTTTAAAAACTTTCAAAATATGCTCCTTCTGAGTCGATGCGGCGTATCTAGTGCGATTTCCAAACATTGAAGGCGTCACAGAAGGCATTCTCCGGAATAGCCTTTAGAGCCGAGGTGCATGCTGCTTGGATCCCCTCTATGGCGTGTGTCATTCGGAAGATTGAATCTTTGTCTCGGTATCATACTTAAAGGTCCATGACTCGGGATCTGTGATTACGTTATTCAAATATTGAGGGTGACACATGTTAAAATTTTCTTAGCACACTTCCTCCCACATCAATTTCTGGTCGTCAATAAGTACTTTTGGGACCACTTTCGCGCACACCTTGCTTACGTTCAAGTGATCCGTCACAATGTTATGAACCACAAGTTTTGATAAATTTAACATCTAGGCAATTAAACGAATACTTAGTCAACGGTGTGAGTTCAAAACTTTGCGCACACGAGTCACATTGTCCGTGTTTGTCTAAGTCGCAGGCTGTCATTTGCGTCCACTTCTCGCCCTTCCAAATAGGCCTAGTGCTACCGAATCACACCACTTCTTGCTAAAGCAACATTTTGGTAAACCTGCTTGATCATATCAAACGTATGCGTCGCAGATTTACCGAGATTTTACACAGAATTTAATCGCGCTAACGAACGCTGTATTTTCGGG